AAGCGCAGGGTGCCACGTTCAATCCCCACTACCAAAAAAAAAAAAAAAAGTTCTTGGGTACATTTCTCTTTTTTAATAGAATACAGATTATAAGTTAATCTGTTAAAATAGGTTTTTAACTCCTAAGTGATATCAATTTTTTAAATGTTTTACTTGAAATTCATAGTACATGATTTATATAGATGGATACCTTTTCTAGGAAAGAGAATGCAAACAGTCCTATTCCTTAGTTAAGAATATAAAGAGTGATATGTCTTGGGCCGGGGATTTAGCTCAGTGGGCAAGCACAGTTCAATCCCCAGTACCAAAAAAAAAAAAAAAAAAAGAGTGATATGTCTTAAAATAAGGTGTTATAATTTTTTGCTACACTTTGTCACTTAATTTGCAGATACTTGTTGGAAGGTGCCACGTTATTTAGCAAAGAGGAACATCATTATTCTGCAGCTTTCCAGATTGACGGACATTGGATGCACTATGATGGCCTCAGAAATGTGAATTTAATTTTGTTAAATAAACCCCCAGAGTTTCTCCTCTTGTCATCATTGGTTTATATTCGAGCAACAGAGAAATAAATAGAGACTGGTGCTAAATTAAATTGTTTTCCCGCCTGCCCATGCTCCTCCGAGTTGAAGGGCTTTTATTTTGTGTATACTTGGTATCCAAGGAAAGAGTTCAACTATACTAGTTTCAGAGGTGTATTTCCCAGTGTTTAGCTCCAGGTAAATGTTTTATATCAAAGATCTATGCAAAAAAAATTTGTATTTCTTTTTTTATATTTCCTGGGTTATTTTTATACAAGCATATTTTATGTTAAATAAAATATATCTGTAGTCTTTATATTTTTTAAATATGTACTGCAGAAGTTTTTACGGTTGTATCCTTAAATCTAAGAAAATACTTTGTCACTTGAATTCTAAATTTTTCTTTTTGATATCTAAGTAAAACCTGGGTAAAAGTCAGTATTTTAATTTATATAAATTTAAAAGTTTGAAATATATCTTGACTATATTTCTTTGCCTTACCTCAACTGTAATCCAAAGTGCACTATTGGGATTTAGTATGGATTTGAATGTACAATTTATGGACTTAGTTAATTTTACCTATTACTTTGCCTAATTTCCTTGCTCCAACTTTTTAAAAATAGTCATGTGAGAATTTTTTTGTCTGGGCTTAAATGATTTCTTTATAATGGTAAATTACTGTAAGTACTTGCTAAACTATTGTAAACCTGCCAGTGGATTTCCAAGTGTTAAGTAAGCTTCCAAACTTAAAGTTATTGTTCAAAATAAATTACATAACTACCCTAAATATTAACCTCATAATTAAATGTAATAGAAATTCTCCAATTAAGTCATTTTACAGGGGCCAGGGATTTAGCTCAGTGATTCCGACGCCTGCCTCGGCAGCACGAGGTTCCAAGTTCAATCCCCGGTACAAAAAAAAAAGTCATTTTACAGAAAAACCAACTATTAAAAATAATATTCAACTGGATGCTTCCTAACGTTGGGCTAACAAAAATATATGAGCAAGTGTCCGACTACTGAACTACATCCCCAGCCCATATCTCTTTACCTATTTAAGTATTACATTGGCACAGAAGAAAAAATTAATTTTTAGAGTAAAACTTGCTGGCTCTTGTAGGTAGTAATTGGTAGCATGAAGTTTTTATTTGCAGTTAAATCACTAGAATTTTATAGTGATCAGAATATTTTTTATAAGGACCCCAAGATTGCTTTTCGTTTTAAAGGAAAACATTGAAAATTCTCAAGGGAAAACACTTTTTGGAACTTATACCCGTTCGTTTTAGTGTTTACATTTCAACACAGTCTGCTTTAGGTGTAGGGTTGAGATTAGGTGCAATATATTTGAAGACGTCTAAATGACTACTCAGTTCACTGCCTATACCAAATTGCTAAGGTTTCATTCAATAAATTAAATCTTACATTGCCTTGGTGCCGAGTTGAGATAACTTTCTATAGAATAGATGAGTGTGGGTGAAACATTACTGAGAATTCCTCCCTCTGAGTGAATACCATGAGAAGTACTTTTATACCTAAGATAAAATGTGATTTATTTTACAAAAAAAAAAAAAATCCCAGCATTTATTTAAATAGTCCCCCAAATACAAAAAATAGCATTTGGTTTACAGTAAACTTAATCTGTAAAATATTACTGTATTGCATGAGTCAAAATATATAAGAACACAAATACTAGAGCATATATAAGTGAAATAATTAGCAAATTATTAGTTATTCCCAATGCAGGTTTATTCTTTTAAGAATTGCACTTTACTTGGAATATTAGTTTATCACAAAACAGTGACTTAACCTACCTCACAGGGCTGTTGTGGGGATTATAATGTTTGTTATAAATCTTGACTACCTTGAACATGCTAATAAACCTATTTTTCTACCTCTTGTATGTACAGGCAGTCTCTCAGATTCTCTCTTGGACTTTCTAGATATTTTAGAAAATAGGTAGTAGCTCATCACTATTGTACTTAACGTGTAATGGGAAATAAATGTCTTTCTTGTGGTGTTAGTGGCTAATTGGTAGCAAGAAAAAGTTATCCCAGGGTAACCATGCAATGAATAGAGTCAAAAAGAATGAACTGGTTGGGCATGGTTGCACAGCCCTGAAATCCCAGCACTCTGGAAGGCTAAGGCAGGAGGATCACAAGTTGAAGCCCAACCCAGGCAATTTATCGACTTAGTGAGATCTTGTCTTAAAACAAAGGTCTGAGGATGTAGCTCAGTGCAAAAGGCCCTGGATTCAGTCACCAGCACCATAAGAAAGAAGGGTTGGGAGGAGATACGAAGGAAGAAAGAACTAAACTGGACTATAAAATGTCAAGTTGAGGGTGTGGAAATTTCTTGTAATTCCAAACATCCTTGAAGAAATCAAAATAACCTGGGGAAAAGGGAGCAAAAGATTTGAGGGAATAATCAGACTATGTTTTTAATGAAAGTACCACAAACCACTATTACATTTATAGAAGAGCAAAAATAATTTTAAAACTTTGGTCATGATCAGCAGGAATAAAGGACAAAGCAAATTTAAGAAGGAATCTACAACTTCTCTTCAACAAAGAAACCTTTTTTTTTCAATTTGTGTGAATAATTTTACTGTTATTTCTTTAAAGTAACTTTTCATTATAAATGATTTGGTTTAATATCTGAGGCACTGTCATTTGATCTGATCCAATAAACGAGGAAGAGAAACTTATGCCCTGAGTAAATAATAGTTAATCTCATCTTCTATTTCATTCTTGGACTTTAAGCAAACTAAGCAAATAATTACTATGAAACATGAATAAAAGCTGCCCATGTTGAACATGCTAAATTAATGATACATAATTCATTGAAAATAAGTACAAGTAGGAAGGGAAAGCGATTCATGTAAAATGACTGTAAATAGTATTACTGAACTACAGCCCAAATATTTGTATTCATTCATCTTCGTCAATTAATGTTCTACCCTAAAATTGCATAGGTTTTAAAGTTCATCTTATTTTGGCAGTCATACAAAGGCCTTAAATGTAATATTTGCTATCAGGGTCTTCCATCCCACCTAACTGGTCCAGGTTGCAGCTTCAGGTCCCCTGGTCAGCCTCGTTCCTATGATTTAAAGGAGGATGTCCTGTCCAAAATTCATGTTGAACTTAATCCCCATGGTGGTGGTGTTGAAACGTGGATCTTTCCAGAAGTGACTGAGCCAACAGTGCCCTGATAAAAGAGCTTGAAGGAATGAATTGAGCCTTTCTGCCCTTGTGCCTTCCACCATGTGGGGACACAGAAATAAGGCCCTTAGAGGATACTGGCTTATTGACCTTAGACTTCCAAGCTTGCGGAACTGTAAGGAATAAGTTTCTGTTCAGTATCAAGGGGCCTTGTCAGAGCAACACAAACAAAGACACTCCTGTAACTTCAAATTTAATTTGGTCCCAGGAACAGCATAACCTTTTTCCCCTCCTTTGGGAAACGTATCAAGAGTAAGTTAGTAGGGAAGCCTCTACGTGGATGATTTACTTGCTGATATCTACCTGAAGATGTGTATTAGATTATTTACTTCCCAATAAGAATGGGTTCCATAGTCTATCCACAGTTTCTCAGTAAGGTGTTCTGAAAGGATCAAGAAAATAGTGCTTAAAAATGAAAAACAGCTGCTTTGGCAGGGCCTCAGATCAGATGTAGAGCAGGAGTTTTGGAAGAAAATTAGCTGGGTAGATAAGTCAGCAAGTCAGAAACTTGCTGCTTGTGTGGCTGGTTCTATTTTCACTACTTGTTTTGCCTTGGAATTTTGTAAGTCTTTTTTTTTTTTTTGGTACTGAGGATCGAACTCAGGACCTTTCGTTTGCACAGCAGGTGGCAAAACCACTGAGCTAAATCCCCAGCCCTGAAAGTCATTTTTAATAGAATAATATGTAAATAAGTAAATACAAAAACATAAGAAAATAAAGATTATCTATGATTTCTCTGCCCAGTGATAATCATTGGTTCCTGCTGGTAACACCTCTTTAAAACATCTGGCCTGGCTGTATAGTACAGAACAAACCAAGAACCAAGGACTTACGGCTTTGAAAGAAGTACATGCTCCTGGGAGCCAGCGTAGTGGTGACCATGGTAATGATCATGAAAAAACTACAGCAGGACAGTGAGGTTCCGAAAACAGCTGTAGCTGCGTGTACAGTTCAGTGGAAGATCACAGGCTATGTGTAAGGCCCTGGGTTCTATCCTCAGCACCGCAAAAAAGGAAAAGCTACTGTCGCCTGTCTAGGTACGGGGCTTCCGTAACATTCATCTTCTCAAACCTTCAAGAACTCATTTTATTTTATGAAAGGTGTCATTCCTTTATACTTCTCTATCTACATTTCAATCGTAGTATCCAAATGCTAGAGTTGGGAAGCAATACTGTAATGGTATAAATAGTCAGAAGTGAATATAGGCAAACAGATTTCCTGTGACTCTACCATAGGCATATAACAAAGATTAAAATACGTTGAACATAATTAGCTTTAAAAAAAAAAAAAAAAAGGTAGGTTGGCTGAGGGAGTTTTTGAAGAGGAAGAAATAGGCACAGTACATACTTCTGCAACCTGGGCATGGTGGCAGATGCCTATAATCCCAGCACTCTGGGAGATGGAGGCTGGAGGATCACAAATTCCATCCCAGACTGAGCAACGAAGTAACTTAATGAGATCCTGACTCAAAAAATTTATTTATTTCTTTTTGTTTTTGTTTTGTTTTGTTTTGGGTACGAGCGATCGAACTCAGGCACTTGCGCTTGCAAGGCAGATGGCGGCACCACTGAGCTAAATCCCAGGTCCTCAAAATTTTTAAAAGGACTGGGAATGTAACTCATTGTGAAGGCCCTAGTTCCAATCCCCAGTACAGAAAAAAAAAAATTTCTGTGTACTCAAAGGTGGGAATTTGAGGGCAATAGGAAAGGAGAAGATGGGAGAAGAAAGGAAAAACAACAGATCTGACCTGTGCCCCAGTCAAAAAGAAACCTTGGTAAGGGATGGAGAAAATGGCTGGATAGCTGAGAAAATATTTACCCAAGCTGGTAAATTTGATTTGGAGGCTCCAAGATAGAACAAGGTAATATCGAACATTATTTCCTCTGCGTCATTCACCTAGTGCGTACTTATTTTTGAGTATCTACTATCTGCAATTTGAATTAGACGTGCTGTCTGCCCTGGAGATGTGCACATGGGGGGGGGGGCGTAAATCAGAGACTCCTGCACCGAGGGAAGCAGGCAGCTTTGGTGAGGGGCTCTGAGACCGGCTGTTCGCCGCTGCTGCCCAGCATTGCCTGGGAAGGCGCGTGGAAGAAAGAGACTATCGATCATTCAGCTTGTGATTTTTAGAGCAATTATAAGGTCCTATTGCCTCACTCTACCTCCAAAGCCCAGCTACCTTTAATTTCCAATAGAACAAAGATAAAAGATCTTTCAAACACCTTCAAATTTATTGTTTTCGATTTTTATTTTTTAATCGTACGTTTGCAGAACATAGCTATCACAAACCTCGCGGGGAATTGGTACATGGACATAACACATCTCAGTTCTTTCTTTCATCCCTTCCCTCCTCTCCCTTCCCGCTCTTCTCCCCATCTCCCGGTGCCCTTCTCTTTTGCAAAAGAGCTATCTCCCCATTTCCGATGTCTATCTTTTATGTTGCTCTTTATTCTTTCGGTTTCTCGTGTAAGAGAAACCATGTGGAATTTAAGCTTCTGAAACACTTTCAAAATAAAACAATATTTATCGGGGCCGGGGATTTAGCTCAGTGGCATGGCACCTGCCTCTCAAGCCCAAGGTCCTGAGTTCGATCCCCAGTACAGCAAAAAAAAAAAAAAAAAAAAAAATTATTGTAGCTAAAGTAATCCAAAAGGATTAATAATGTCAAATTTATTCTATTTCTGATTTGTTAGAAAAAAAAGATGAATGGGAGAAGTCACCTGTTTGGGCCTTTTTTTATTCATTAAGTTTACTGATGCATTTTAGGTATACATTATGATCACATACATCACTGGGAATTCGTACCTATACATGGTATATCCTGATTCTTTTTTTCCTCTTTCCCCCTCCTTCCCTTCCATCCTTCCACTCTCCCTATTTAAAAAAAATATATTTTGTTTCCATTTTTCCTTCTTTTCTCTTTTTTTTCTGTCCCTTCTTCCCCACCCCCCACTCCCCCACTCCCCTCCCCCTTTAGACCTTTTCTTCCTATTTCACATTATCTTGGTCCTCATTTTCACTTTCAGTTTCTCACAACAGAGAAACTATTCGGTATTTACACATGTGTGTCCTATTTATTTCAATTAGTAGTATGGCCTCAATGCGCATCCATTTAGCTATAAATGTCTCTAGTTGGGCCTTCTTTAAATACTTCTGTGGATGAGTGATCAGCTGGACTTCGGGGACAGGGTTATTTCCAACTCTTTGCAGTATAGTATGTGAACACTAGGTGCCAGGCGCTCCCCAGTATGGAAGGGAAAGAACCAGAAAAGAAAATCGTATCTGAACTTTCTGGCCAGAAAGTATTAACTCATTCTGTAGTTTAGGTGAAAAGAGTAGTTTTCATTCAAATATACAGTTATGGTGCCTTTGATAAGATTGACTTCTCTTTCTGCCAACACTTCAGCTAAAATAATTGCAAGCTGACTCCCAGGGTTTCTTGACCTACTGTACTTCCTCTCCTCCTTCATAGTTTCTGGAATCTTCCCCTCTTTCTTTACCTCTTCTTTTGAGAAGCCTTAGAAACGTCTGTTCTTGGCAAGTTTATGGAAATCCCAGAAGAACTGACTCACTGTTACCTCCTTTTCACCAGGAAATACAATGCACCTTCAAGTTACAACCGGCCTCATATAGGAACAACTTGGGTTAATTAGATTAATTAGGTTAAGTCATCTGCCTCTCGCTTTAGTGTGTACCCAGGTAAACATCCAGATCTCAGTTGTACTGACTTAGTTATAACCAGCCCTAGAACTGATCGAGTTTGTAAGTCAAGGGTCCACTTTCTAAGTGACTCATGGTATGTCATCACTTTACCACTGGATTATCGAGAGAGAGAGAGAGAGAGAGAGAGAGAGAGAGAGAGAAACTATGTAGCCCATGCTGGCCTTGAACTCATGGTTCTCCTGCCTCAGCTTCCAGAGTGCTGGGCTATTATAGGCATGGGGCACCACACTGTGCCAAAACTGTTTATCCTTCTGCTGTGATCTGAGTCTTTGTACTCCCCTGCCCTCAGATTCATATTTAAAATCCTCACCCCCAGGATGATGGTATCAGGAGGTGGGGCTCTTGGGAGGTGGTTAAACCCTGGGAGAACAGCTGTTATCCATCAGATTAGTGCCTATATAAAGGAGACCCAAGAGAGCGCCCACACCCCTTCTACCGTACTGAGGACAGACAGAGAAGGCTGTATCCCTAAACCAGGAAAAGGTCCTCACCAGACACCAAATCTGCCTTCATTTTGGACTTCCCAACCTCTAAAACTGTCAGAAATAAATTTAAGTTTGCAAGCTACCCAGTTTAAGACATCATGTGACTACAGTTGGAGATGCTATATAGAGAGATAATTTCAAAGACTATTAAAATCTGGCTTTAAAATTTTTTGAGACATAATTCTCTACTGAGTGGGAAATGCCTACTCTATTAAATTGTAAGACCTTTGCCTATTTTTTTTCTTTTGTGGGGGGGTACCGGGGGTTGAACTCGGGTCCTTGCACTTTCGAGGCAGGTGGCAGAACGACTGAGCTAAATCCCCAGCCCACTAATAAGAGTTTTAAATCAGCTTTTAATGCATCCTAAAACATAAGAAACTTTATTTTTAAAATTATATTCTAAGGTTTAAGCCAAAAAACCTGAGGCCAAATGTCACCTTTCAGTAAGTTCACAAGTGGGTAGAGGTAGACTGATACAAAGAGCACCTAAGTCTTGTCTCTTGCTAAATGGTATGCACAGTGGTAGGACTTCTTGGGAAAACTGGGTGAGATGGAGCAAAATTGTATATCATCTGCCCTGGCCCAGCAATTCCACTTTAGAAAAAAAAATCCTCAAGACACAAAATGGAAAATGCACAAGACTATTAATTACAGCATTATTTGTAAAAATCACAAATGAAGGGCCGGGGATTTAGCTCAGTGGTTTTGCCGCCTGCTGCGCAAGCGCAAGGACCCGAGTTCGAGCCCTGGTACCCCCCCCCAAAAAAAATCACAAATGAAGCAAGGCAAATGTCCAGCAGCAGAGTGCTACAGCGTGCTATGGTATACACACACAATAAGCACTGTTCAACTGAATAAAGGATAAAAGTGCTCTACATATAATAATATGGAATAATTTCCAGAATATATTAAGTGAAAAGGAGTTTTAAAAAATGTTTTTGTAGTAGGCTGTATTTTCTGTAACAAAATAAGAAAGAGGTATCTTCGTTTTTTAAATGAATATGACATCTCATAGAAAGAATTACTTAGAGGAATAAACAGAGTGGAAGAGAAGGAAATACAAAATTCCCATAAATACATCTTATATGGTTTCTACTTGTCAATTATTTTATAAAATTTAAAAATGAAATCAAATTAAAAGAATATATCCTTGAAAACTGATACCTGTATTAAAATAACCTAACTATTGGGCTGGAATGTAGCTTGGCAGTAGTTTGCCTAGCATGTGTGAGGCCTTGGGTTTGATCGTCAGCACCACAAAATACTAACCACCTAATTGTTCATCACTGACCTCATTTGATTCTAAAGCCAGTGTTCTTGTTAGATATCCTTGCATGCATGGGTCTTATTATTTATAGCTATGTTAGTACTGTTTTGAAACTATAAAAATGTTGTAAGATAACACAAATACATAATTATATTCATGTCAATAGACCAAAATTTTCACACCTAGAAATAATATATTAAAATCAAATATTTAGGCAAAATCCCCCTTTCTGTTAAAATTAAAAAGGGCATTTCTTAATTCTATTGTATAAACCTTGTTTAGATCTTGACTCAAAGCAACCAATGGTAACAAGGATTATTTTTGAGAAAATTAGGGAAGTTTCAATATAGACTGGGTACTAAGTATCACAAAAGTATTAAAATTTCAAGTGTTCTATCAGTGTGGTTTATACTTTTGTTTTGTTTGTTGTTGTTTTGAGACAGAGTCTCACCATGTAGCCCAGGCTGGTCTCCCAACGTGGGATCATTTTGTCTGTCTCTCAATTGCTGGAATTACAGGCATGTAGCACAACATCTCACACTAGAATAACTTCTTTTTGAATGCATTTTTAAGTAATTTTTATTATCTAGAGTTACAGCCTCAATTATTTACTGGACATATCATAATGCTGTCTAGGATTCTCTTTAAAATGCTCAGCAAAAACATTTAAAAAAAAACACCCAGGGTAAATAAATAGAAGTAGGATTAATAAAATGTGGTTAATAGTTAAAGCTGGGTGATGTGTACATGAAGGTCTCAATTCTATTAAAAAGAAACAAAAAGGCTGGAAGCTATACCAAAGCTCACTTGAGCTGTTTTAGTACTATCTCATCATAGTATACAGTTTTACTCTCAAGTTCCAGCGTGGCACAGAAGAGCTTTTTGCATTCGTTTGAGTTCATTGCAGACTCCTACGATCCACCCACCACATTGTATATCTGCTCCATGACTGCCCCAAACAAGAGAACCATCTAGTAATTTTATGAAAGAACCCAAGAGGCGCAGATGAAGTTTTGTCAAAACAGCACATCCTTTTCACCCTTCTTGGGTGGGTGGTGGGAGGAGAAGCACTCCGAAGCAACTTTTTCCATTTCAAGTGGGATGGTAGCATCTGGCTTGTATTACTCCCTTTCACCCTTCTTCCTGTCTAGCACATATTAAGCTCTCACTACATGTCTGCTGACAGATCTTAAAATAAGTTCTGGGTAATGTACAAGCTCTCTGTCCATGCCTTGGAATAAAACAGTAGAACTTAAAAAACATTGACTTAGCCAAGAAATCTTTTTTTCCCCCCGGTACCGGGGATCGAACCCAGGACCTTGCACTTGTGAGGCAGGCGTGGCACCACTGAAATCTCCGGCCCAAGAAATCTTAATTTTAATATGTGGTTCACTTTAAATACCTAGGATATATCTAAGTTCCAATTTCAGCTCCAGGAGTTGCCCTCCTCATCAGGAATGCAGATGAGGGAAAGGTAGCTGACATTCTAGTCAGGAAATCATACTCAGGGAACCACAAGTACTTCCATTACTGATAATCTGACTGGCAGCTGAGGATTTGCTAATAAGCATATTAAATGCCAGGACTATGTATTGGGGAAGCGGTTCACAGACTAACATAGTATCAGAAATTTGCTCTTACTAGTGAAATTAGATTAGACCCATTCAGGCATGTAACTTACACCTTCCTTAAAGAATGTGCCTGGGTCTCCATTACCTGTTCTTATTCCTTTCTTCAGTATTGCTTGATACTAACCATAAAAGTAAGGGAATCTTTTGGGAGACTGCTTTGTCTGCCGGAAGGAAATCTTCCTTATAAGGATGGTTAGAGAGTCTGAAAGGACAGAAAGTTAGGGCTGCACTGAGGCTGGAAACAGCTCTTGCGCCTGTTTTGCTTAGCAAATGTCTGAATGTGCAAGTTGGCAATGAGGATATCAACGAGTGGTGACCCACACCCATCTCGACTGCCTAAGTTTCTACGAGAAAGAAACTGAGTTGAAAACGACAAACTTAACATGATTCAGTTTGCAACGATCCTTACAGGATACACATTTGAAATTTTTAATTTTATTTTAAACATTTCACATTAAATAAAATTCAACCATAACCATTACAGAGCATTACCACAATAATATACACAAAAAACTTAAAATAAAAGACAAAAGAATAGAACTTTCAACAAGTTAATTGCCATTTTACTGTGTAAACAAAAGTAAAATAAAACCCTGATGCTAAAAAGGTACATATTCAGAGGTAAAATATAGATACAAAAACATTTAAACATCAACATTACTCACTAGATCACATTCTCTGCAAGAGTACAAATATTAGTACTCTACATCTACAAAATTTCAGAATCCTGTTAAAATCAAAACCATCTCTGGTTTATGATACAGCATAATTCATAAGGCAAAAATATAGGCATTATCATCCAGTTCTTTAATTTCACTTGTATTTTAAGGCAAACTTGGAACTTTTTGCTTAGTATTTTAAAATAAATGGGACCTTACACATGATAACGTGACAAGAATTAACAATAAATTATCTCTAAATATGTAGAATATAAAAGACATATGGATAACAATTTTTCTGGCTGCAGAGATGTAAACTGGATTTTTATTTGACTCCATATTCACACTAGTAAGAAAATTTGTAAACCTATAATGTTGAAAACATGTTGTACGTATTGTATTTCTCAGTCTTCTCCAATGTGTATCAACACTGAATCAATACATTGTAATATATTTCCAGCCACAGAATTGTTGTCTAATTAAACCATGTCTAAAGTGCTGTTTACAAAGTGGGGGAAAAGTTTAAGAAGTAGAACTGGATGTTAACTTGACATGTGACATAATTTTTTAACTTTCTAACTACAGAGGTTATGGAGGTTATCACAAGTTTATTGAACTTGAAGCAATAAGTTTATTGTAGAGTCTGATTTTCCTGAAAATAAGCACTTAGGTGACAATACTAGGAATCCAACACCAAAACCCAAACCAAACACAGCATAATATATGTATGTTTCCCTCAGTGTCAGCCACAGGCTTGATACTCCAGGATATAGCTGGTTTTTTAATTTTTCCCTATACATTTGTTTTTCTTCTGGAAAATACACTGTCCAATTCGAGAAGATGTGGAGTTCTATAAACATTAGATTTTTCATAATTCTTTTTCATGCCATTAAAATCTACTTGAACACTAAATAATTGTTTAGACGTAAACTAGGTCTACTCACTTTTTATGCTGGAAATAAGGAATTAGATCCACATTTTACCATAGTTGATACTGGGGTACAGAACTCCTCCACTGTATTTTACTCTTGAGTGAAAAGAGTGTATGTATTTCTATTTCTAGCCACCACAGGATCTAACACAGTAGCTCACAGGTATAGTTGACCTTCCATATGGATCAAACTACCAAACTACACTTCAAAATCTAATGCCACCTTCCTATCACTTGATGCCACTTCCTATCATTTAATATTCATTCATATTTAAAACAATATTAGCAAAAACAAGTGGAACTCGTAAATATCCTTCAGGTTATATTAAAAATCAGTTAAACTAATATTAAATAGCTAAACATTCCTAACAGATTATGTCTTTATAACATAATTATAGGAGGTAATTATCTTGCAATTGATTTAATTTCTATTTCTCTTCCCATTATTTTCCAAAATATTTCTGGCAGTTTTAAATAGTGTTCCTATCCTTGACTGAATATGTACAATCATTTCTAATACCATTAAACCTGGGGATTTATAGTATTTCGTTCCTTTTAAATTAAGAATCATGTGGCTTTAAATTCACAATTTGTCAGCAAAATTTTCCACATAAAATTCTCACAAATGTGTCAGAGAAGGACATATAGTAAATTTATCAGCTGTCAGGTCATATTGGCAGCTCTAGCTGTTGTGAACAGTACAACAGCAGTCCTATGATAAATATATTGCTTATTTTAAAGTGTTTTTTCCTTTAACCTTCACAGGTCTTCATAATTTTTTCACTGGTACATAGCTGCTACTATTGCCCAAGATATTTCACATTTAATTTTCACTAAGATGAGCATTAGATTTTTTGAAAATGATCAATATTTGCTTTCCATAGAATTTGCCAAGCGATTATATATTTTATACTAATTTGATAGTGGAAACAACATGAGTAAAACATCATATAACAGAAACAAAATAATTTTCTATAATCTTTCAAAATCCTATCTTTTGGGAGAAGGGGATTAAAATAGTATAATAAGATGTATTTAATAATTGTGTTATGGTTTCTATCTAGATGGCCCCCCTCAAGCCTACTGTTCTCATAGGTAGGGCTTTGGGGAGGTGATTGGATCATAGAGGCTTAATACTCATGAGTCCATTGCTGAGTTTAAACTGTGATGTTGCCAGGTGAAACCTGATTGGAGGTTGTCACTGGGGGTGGCCTGGAAGGACCTATCTCCTTCCCTACTCCCTTGATCCTTCCCAGCTTCCCACACCATGCTGGGGGATCTCTTCTCTGCCATGCAGCCCTGGCCTGGAACCAGCTGACTGGAGGGAAACTTCTACAGACTATGAGTCAAAATAAACCTTTCCTCTCTTAACTTGCCGGTGTGGGGTATTTTGCCCCAGCAACAAGAAAAGTGACTGAGACAATTTGATTGATATAAACAAAGAAACTGAGTTGGGGATTTAAAACAAGCATTGTACGTGGTAGAATCTATTTTAAATTGCTTTTCTTTGAGGTTTAGGACAACCACAGTAGTGCACCTTATTTCTATTCAACAGATTTATTCAAATCAATGAAAAAGTTATTGCTATATATCATTATGTTATTCAAACAAGCAACATAGAAAATACTCAGTTGACTTTATTAGTAGCTCCTGTTGAGTTCTAAGTTAGAAGAGACTAAAAATCACTTGCAAAGTTTTATAATCTGTGCAAATATTTGTAAAGCATGATACTACTTTTATGATTAAAGACGATTTTATACAGTTTTGTAGTATATACTCAACTCTACAACTGGCAATTTATGGAAGAACAAGGAAAACTGCAAATTGGCTGGCCATAGTTTTCAAGAAATAACATGTTAACAACTGAACCTATATTTTATAATTACAAATGGCTTCTTAACAACAGTTTTGAATATTATGGCACTTAAGAATGCAGTATGAATTTTCTTAGGGAAAGATATACACTGGTCTCACAGACGCTATATAAAGTGATAGTGGGAGGGGGGGAAAAAAAGGAAATGAAAACGAAATGACTATAGTACCAAAACCACAAACACAAGAACCAGTATCAGCATAAAATGCAAGCTAATGTGTTTGAGACTAAGAGACACCTACTAACACATGCTAAACTAAAATAAGTTAACCATTTCTTTTAAATTAGCTATTGGTGGGTATAGCAAACAATTTTGTTTTTAAAAGATTGCTTTTTTAATAAAAGCAGAATCGAAGTTTGAATCATTACTCAAGTAAACATCGAGTTCTAGTTTTCCTCAATAACTTTAAAATACTCAGTTACCTAAGAAATATACAAAATAATGCACAACTGCTTAGTGCCTTATATTTAATGCATATATTTGTTTTTAAGAAGGACATGTAATATCTAGCACAAGAAGGAAGATAAAAATGTACCTTTCTTTAAACCACTATTCAGGAACCAAGAAAAGCATAACATAGGCTGTTTAGATGATTTTTAGAGATTAGCATTGGTGCACTCACTAACATTATAAGCACAAATGAATCAAGCCAGTAAAAATGACAAAGACTATCAAAATATGTCATGCATATCTTAAACATCCAAAGGAACATGGTTACAATCTTGTTATAGATCCTACAGTTAGCACCATTTTTATATATGAACACTTTGAGAAAGCAAAGATCTTAAAACTAAAATTATTATGAGGATATATGAAAAAATCAATATGCATTAAAGTACTAAACACTTCAAATATTTACATCAACACTGGGAACCTGCTGCAGTACCAAGGAAAAACTGAAATAACTGCTATGATTAACTCCTTCTATCCATGCTTACCACGGCATAGATGAGTAACTCAATCTGTGCAGCACTAAGCTGCCCATATATATAAAAGGCATAAACCGTAATAGCTGACTTCTTAAAATAGGGCCCCAAATATGATAATAAAAGCACTTTTCTTGCAAATTTATTATACCACCAGTCCTATAACCATTTAGCAGAAAGAGTATACAGTGACTCACTAGGGCACGTTATTTACAATCCTTAGAAGTACCAAAAGTAAAAGCAGCCCTTTGTTTTAAGAAATGTAAAGCATATGAATTTATATTTGACAAGCGGTATAAGCAATCTGTCCAGTCATTCAATATACTTCATAGTTCTAAAGTTTCTCTCATCCTAGTAAATCATAATACGTGTCAAGGAGGGAGAGCTAAAATTAAAAGAAAGGAAAAAAAGCAGCAAGGTTTTGTCCACATGTACGTTTAAGAACTATTGCAGTCTTGGGGGGAAAAGTGCACAATTCAATTGGCAAGGTCTTTTTTAAATTATGGATTTACTGCATAATCAAGAGCAACCAAAACTACTTGTCAAAGTACCCCACGAACTGTGAGTCTTCATGCCACTTGAAGTTACAAAGAAGCGATGCAGCTTTTAGAAAACCAGGCATCCTCTCATGTGGCACAAGTTTCACCACCATGCTATTTTCAAGAATCCACACTTGTTAGAGTGCAGTCAATCCAAAATTGCAGCGACAGTAGATCATGCCTGCTGAATCCAGCCATGTGTCTGAGATCGGGTCGTATTTCTGCACTGTGTTCAGATAGGAAGACCCTGAGTGACCACCAACCACATACAGGCAGTTATCGATTACTGCAGCACCGACTCCTAAGAAAGGTGGGTAAAAAGAAGAAACACGGTAACTGAAGTAGGTGCTTTGCTCACTAAAAAAAAAAAAATGAGTTTGTATTTTAAAGTTTTCTTAAAATACATTTTAACAATTATAATTATACAAACAATACAGCAATATGTACTGCCTGGAAAAAGGACCCTTAATATTAAAGTAAGGGGTCCAGGACGTAGCTCAGTGGTTCCGGTGCCTGCCTCGCAAGTGCAAGGTCCCAAGTTCGATCCCCAGTACCCCCAAAAAAAAAAAAATTAAAGTTAGGGTTGAAGTCTTCCTTTACCTCTGCTCTCCAATCCTATTTTCCCCCTTCCTTTAGTCCAGGAAAGTATTATTTTTTCAAAATAGGTTTTTAATTGATGCACAGTAATTGTACATAGTCACAGGTACAGTGTGACATTTCAATCCATGTATACAATGCATAATGATCAGATCAGGACAACCAGAGGGAAAGTACTATTAAGAATATAGTGAAGGCTGGGCCCGGGATTTAGCTCAGTGGTTTGGCCACCTGCTGCGCAAGCGCAAGGACCCGAGTTCGATCCCCAGTACAAAAAAAAAAAATTAGTCTTATGGGCCGGGGATTTAGCTCAGGGTTCCGCCGCCTGCCTCGCAAGCGCAAGGTCCCGAGTTCAATCCCCGGTAGACCCCCCCACACACACAAAAAAAAGAATATAGTAAGGGGCTGGGGATTTAGCTCAGTGGTTCCGCCACCTGCCTTGCAAGTGCAAGGTCCCGAGTTTGATCCTCAGTACCAAAAAAAAAAAGAATATAGTGTATTTCTAGGCAGGTGTGGTCTAGCACTCAGGAGGCTGAGGCAGGAGGATAGCTGCAAGTTTGAGGCCAGCCTGGGCTACATATTGAGTTCAAGACCACTGTGAACTACATAGTGAGATCCTGTCTCAAAGAAAAAAAAAGAATATTGTGTATTTTCATATGTTTTATAATCAATTTATATTTATATACATTTTTCTAGAAATCATTTTGTCAGGTTTTCAAATATATTGATACATAGTTTATGCTTTAAAAATATCCTTTAGATATTATCACCTATAGTTCTAAAAGAGAACAAACCTCATATTTTTAGAGTTTTCTTTGCTTTTATGGCTTTCTCTATCAAGGATATCTAAGAAACCAATTGTAGTAAACACTTAAATAGTTCATTCCATTTTGTCCTTTTAATTTTCTTTGAATATTTACATATCAAGAGTTTCTTTGGGGCTGGGGATTTAGCTCAGGGGTTCTGCCACCTGCCTCACAAGTGCAAGGTCCCAAGTTCAATCTCCGGTACCAAAAAAAAAAGTTTCTTTAACCATGAATATAAATACTACCCTTGGACAAATGCTTTACCTCTAAACTACACCCCCAGCAAAGAATACTTCTAAAGCATTTTCCATCAGTAACTTAAAACCTGTACTATAAAATGTGACTTGAATTTGTATTCAAAAATAACAATTTCCTTTTATGCTCAAGAGCATACTTGTTTTTCTCTAGCTACTTTAAAATCCCACCTTTTTTTGATCAACTACTGCCACGTGGAGATAGAACATGTAAAAGTGAATATATGGATTACTGATGTACAAAATAAAACAGAACAATCCATGAGAGGGAGAGAGAAACACAAAATGACATGTTATAATGCACAAAAAGAGCTTATAGAAAGATATACTCTATTATCAGCATTTCCCAAAATGTGTTCAAATTTGAAAAATGATAATATACACAATGATATATTAAAAGCACAGTAAAGAAATCCACACAGTCTTGTCTAGGTAGTTACCTTTCGAGTTTACAAAAAAAAAGGTTTTTCTCAAACTGGCTTTCCATATGCTGAAGATTCAAACTAGACCCATATCTTTCACCATGCAGTAACCTAAAATTGAAATGGATCAAAGATCTAAATATTAAACAAAAACACTAAATCTGCTGGAAGAGAGAATAGGTAGAACACTTGAGGACACAGGAGTAGGCAAAGACTTTAAGAACAAAACCCAGAGCTGGGGATTTAGCTCAGTGGTTCCAAAGTCTGCTTTGCAAGCGCAAGGTCCCGAGTTCGATCCCCAGTACCAAAAAAAAAAAAGAACAAAACCCAAACTGCATGGGAAATACTACAAAGAATCAACAACTGGGACCTCATCTTATTAAAAAGCTTCTCCACAGTAAGAGAAACCACCAACAGAGTGAATGGACAACCCACAAAATGGGAAAAAATTTTTACCAGCTATTCAGATAAAGGACTATTATCTAGAATATGTAAAGAACTCAAAATAATCAGAACCCCCAGACCCAATGCAAAAACTGGGCATCTGAAATGAAAAGACACTTCTCAGATGAAGAATTAGAAATGGCAAATAAATATAGGAAAAAATGTTCAACATCATGGTCATTCGAGAGATGCAAATTAAAACAACACTGAGATTCCATCTCACCCCAGAAAGAATGGCTGCTGTCAAGAAATCAACCAATAATAAATACTAGCGGGACTGTGGGGAGAAAGGAACCCTTCTCCACTGCTGGTGGGAGTGTAGACTGGTGCAACCACTGTGGAAATCAGTGTGGAGATTTCTCAGAAAACTAAAACTAGAGGTTCCATTTGACCCAGCTATACCTCTTCTTGGTATCTTCCTGAAAGAATTAAAAGCATCCTACCACAGTGATACCTGCATACTCACATTTATAGCAGCACAGTTTGTAATAGCTAAATCTTGGAAACAGCCCTAATGCCCATCAACTGATGAGTAGATAAAGAAGATGTGGGGTTTTTTTTATACAATGGAGCACTACTCTGCCACAAAGAAGGATGAGCTTCAGACATTTATAGCTAAACGGATGGACCTTGAGACCATACTCTTAAGTTGAATGAATTGGACACACATGTTTAAACACCACACTGTTTCTCTGGTGTGAGAACTGAATGTGGAAATAAGGACTGAGGTGTATAATGGACGTTGGGAAAATAGGAAGAATGTGTTCAAATGGGAAGGAGAACAAGGGAAGAGAGAAGGAGAAAGGAAGGGACAAAAAAAGAATTGAAAAAGGAAGGAAAAAATGGAAAAAAAAGTTTATTCTGGACAAGTTATACCGTTACTGTTATATTCTAAGGAATTACTGTACTATTCTAAGAGTATTACTATAGAAAACACTGCCTTGTATGTCTAGAAATTAAGTTATTACCTGTTCTGGGCTCTTTCATTGGTCTACACACAGTCCACTGATTTTGATGAGGGTCATATCTTTCAATGCTTGACAAATGTGAGACACCATTATGTCCACCCACGACAAAAATAAAGCCCAGCATAACACCCACACCAAAGTGAATCCTTTTATCTGCCATGGATGCAACCATCTCCCAGGAGTCCTTACTTGGATCATAACACTCCACACTGTAAAAATTTACAAAAAAAGAGAATTAGTTCACAGATGCTTTGCGTCATTCTTCCTACCAAAGCAAAATGAAAACCCCCCATGAAAAAATGCAAATAGACATAAAATAAGAGTCATCTATTCCAAATTACTTAGATTTTGGGCCAGGAATGTAGCTCAGTGGCGCCATACCTGCCTGACAAGCGCAAGGTCCTGAGTTCAGTTGCTGGTACTACAAATTGCTTAGATTTTATTGATGAGATTACAGGAATAAAGCTTAGCTTGTGGACAGAGTATAACAATAGCCATAGGCTATTCCATTATACAGCTTTTCCTGAGTAGACAAAGGATTGGTTCCAGAACCCAGGAGATGCTCGAGTCCCTTATATAAAATGGTATAGTATTTATATATAACCACCTATATATACATATATATATATTTTTTTGGTACCGGGGATCGAACTCGGGTCCTTGTGCTGGCACAGCAGGCAGTGAAACCACTGAGCTAAATCCCCGGCCCTTCACCTATATATTTTAAACCATCTCTTGATTACTTATACCTAATACAATGCAAATGATGCACAAATAGTTGTTATAATGTATTGTTTGGAGAATAATGACAAGGATAAAAAGTCTACATGTTCAATATGCGTGCAATTATTTTTCTGAAATTTTTTTTTTGCTCCAAAGTTGGTTGAACTTACAGATGCTGATCCTACAGATACAGAGAGCTGGCTGCATTATACAAGCAACAAGGTATATTAAGGGCATAGGACTTGGAGTCAGAAGACCTGGGTTTAAATACTAATTGGCATAGTAGAGGCCCTACCACTTTGGAGCTGGGTAATACTAAGTAAGCAATTTCTTCACCTGCAAAAATGGAACTAGTGCAACCTCAAAGGAGTCATGTAAGAATAAAGCCAAACAAGTATTGTGGAAGCTACAACTGAATATAGATTTTTTAAAGAATACTAAGGATACACAGATAAGAAAAAGGGAACAGAAAGGGCATTTTTTTTTCCTGCAGAAAAATCCATGTGGTTTAATCCAAAGTAATCACTGCAGGTTCCATAACACAAACTGGCTATTCATAGTAATCCCAGAATGACTGAGGAGAACTCAGGTATTTAAGTCAAGTACACATTCTAGAAAACCTGTAGTATTTCCAAACTTCTTTATGGAAAGCCAGATTTACTTGGAATTTCAAAAAAAGCCCTTTGGGCCTATAGTTCATTCTGAAGGATCACAGAGGCACAAAGGTAAGCTTGTTGAGCTTGTTCTAGTTCTGACCTAACTTCTTGAAAAAGGCTTAAGCATTTGAGAGCTATATCATCATTATGGACATTGTAATAGAGCCTAGATAATGGTGTTTCTGAAAAGACACCAGGATAAAACTATTAGACCAAAATCACTGGACAAGAAGAGTTGATAAGCTGTAGCAAGACCTTAAAGAACATTATCTCAAAATTAAGATACTTAAATCTTTCATCTTAGAAATTTCTCCCAAAAGCTTTTGAAAGCTTTGTCAAATCCATTTGTTTGTTTTTCTTTTTTTGTCAAATCCATGTTTAAGCCCCAAATCCTTTTCCTTTGACTGTGGAGCAAAAAATGGGAAACAGTTTAGCATAGACAGAAATAAAAATTTATAGATGAAATGCTGTTTCTCAGCACTCTTAAACCACAACATCTCTTCACTGAAACACTCACAGTCAATAAAACACATGCTATTTCAATTACTATTAGACCTAAAATCTTTAGTATATGTGCTGCTCTAATGAGCACTAGAGCTAAAATCTTTAGAACATCCATTTTCAACAAATATGTGATTAATATTTCATATAAAGTTACTTTGTATTTTTATTTTCTCATCTGTATTTCTCCTTATTCAGAGAATATACTATAAAATACTGAAATCTCCAATTCACATTTTTTTTTTGGTACTGGGGATCGAACTCAGGACCTTGCGCTTACAAGGCAGGTGGCAGAATCACTAAACTAAATCCCCGGCCCTCCAATTCAGATTTTAACATACCCCAGACACATGATGATATGTATATGAAAATCCAGAAGGTGGGGCTGGGGATGTGACTCAGTGGTAGAGAACTTGCCTAGCATGCACAAAGCCCTGGGTTCAATCCCCAGCACTGCAAAAAAAAAAAAAAAAAAAAAATCCAGAAAGGGATATTTAAAACTTTATGATGTATCATGATATTGTATTGACACATAGGAATTACATGTACAATTTATTGAGCAATGCAATAAAAGACCATACACATGCATATACACACCTCAGACAACATCTAAAGTTGTCTAAATCTTATTTTTAGGTTTCTGAGTTTTCAAATGTAGTCTATTTATACTGAATGAATAAATGCAAACTTTAATAAGAGAGGTTTGAAACTTAGGTTTGTATTAATTTCCCATATAAACAAATTTACTTATAGAACAGGTTAAATTCTCAAATGCCGATCAATATAACTTAAAAATGTAACAGTGGCGTTGCACCTGCCTTGCAAGCACAAGGTCCTAAGTTCAATAACCGGTACAAAAAAAAAAAAGTAACAAAGGAAGTCCATTCCTACACACAAATTGTTTAAAACTCAGAAGTCATTGTTAATATGCTTTTTAAAAAAAAATCTGCAAACATAAGCAATTTATTTGATTATTAAGTTAAATACCTGTTCATGTGAGCAGGACCATACCCTCCAATGGCATATATCATTCCATCCAATACAGCTGCAGCAAAACAACTTCTTGTTGTAGTCATTGGTGCCACAGGTTGCCATTTTCTTATTTTGGGAATATATTTCTCTACAGATTGTAAATAAGATTGTCCGTCATATCCACCTAAAGCATAAAGTTCTCCTGCAAGTACTACTACTCCGAGGGTACTTCGGCTCTCATTCATTCTCTCTAGAGAAGTCCAGGTATTTGTATCAGGATTCCAGCATTCTACTGAATTTTCATGTTTTCTGATAGTGACACCAGGACGCACATTAGTTTCAATACCACCTATAACATATACTTTTTGGTCTAAAACACATATTCCAAATTCATAGCGTGGAATGTTTAGGGGTGCCAAGCCAATCCAAGAGTCATTCTGAGGAAAGTACATCTCCACACTAAAGAATAAGCAGAAAAAATTACATTTTAAAAACAAAATGGCCCGTAAACAAAAGCATGTTCAAGCCCATTAATAATCAGGAACATGCAAATAAAAGCCACAATAAATTATGACATATGTTCCAGACTGGAAACATTTAGAAGTCAGGTAATAACAACCTTGGAATGAATGTGGAGCAAGGAATGCACATTGTACTGGTGAGAGTGTAAACTGGTATACTGACCTGAAAATCAATTTCACATTATCTAAGGAAGTTGAAGGTGCACAGATGCCTTCACTCAGCATTTCATTCTTATGTGTCTATCAAATGTTTATTATAGCAAGTTTTGCATTAGGAAACATATACAGAAATGTTCACCAGAGCACAACACAATAATTCATCAAAAGAAGAATGGTTAAATAAGGTAGGGTATTTCTGTCCCGTGACTAATTCCATTCTTAGATCCAGGGGAAATGTGTATATTTGTGTATGTACAAGAACGTTCGTAGCAGTATTATTTGTAACATCCAAAAACTGGAAGCAATCTAAATGTTCATTGACCATAAAGTGGATAAAGTAAGGTATATCATATAAGAGAATATGTCAGGATTGAAAATGAACAAAACATCTGGGGTGAATCTTACACATATAATGTGTAATATAACAGAAGCCTAACTAAAAAAAAAAATATATATATATATATATATATTTTTTTTTTTTTTTTGGGAACTGGGATTGAACTCGGGTCCTTGCACTTGCACAGCAGGCGGCGAAACCACTGAGCTAAATCCCCGGCCCCCCAAAAAATATATTTTGTATAATTTAATTTATATCAAGTTCAAAAACATGAAAAACTAATCTCTGGATTACAGATGTAGACAATGATTATCTTTGGGGCAAAACAGGGAGGACGCAAGAGTGATTTCTGGGTGCTGGTCGATTTGATTTTTTTCAGTACTGTGGATTGATCCCATGGCCTTTGCACTGAGCTTTTTGTATTTTCATTTTGAGACAAGCTATCACTAAATCATTAAGTTGCCCAGGCTAGACCTGAACCTGTGATCCTCCTGCCTTAGCCTCCCAGAGTGCTGGAATTATAGGTGTGCACCACCATGCCCAGCAAGGTCATGTTCTGTTCCCTTTATGACAAGTGAGTTGTACATATGGGATTTGTATACTTTGTCATAGATAAATTTCACAAACTTACTGTTCTATGAGAAAAGAAACCATATATATACATATATATTCATTCATTCTACATGTCAAAATTATAATGAAAAGCAAAATAATAATACATAGAAAATTGAGGATAGTGATTACTTCTGGAAGAGGGAAGGAAATAAACGGGGACTTGGAAGTATGGGTAACAGTCTATTAGGATGGTTGATGGATCCGTTTGGCCTGTTTTCAGTTGCTAATAACACAATACCACAGACTAGGTAAGTTATAAAGAAAAGAGGGTAATTCTGGCTGATGTAGCTTCTAGTCTAAAGTCACGGGGCTGCATCTTTTGATGGCCATCTTGGTGGCAGTTCATGGTGAGACAAGGAGCACACATGTGTGTACTATGGTCTCTCCCCCTCTTATTATAAAGCCACCAGTATTCAAGCAAAGGGACTCTACCCAAATGACTTTATCTAATCCTAATCACCTCCCAAAGATTCTACATCTCTACACTATACTCAGTTTTAAGTTCTACCCTCTTACTAACTCACAGTGAGAAATAAATTTCTGCAAATGAACCCCCGGGGGCACACAAATCATATAATTCTACTTCTGGCTCCCAAGGCTCGTATCCTCCTCACAAATGCAAAATACAATCATTCCATCCCCAGTAGTCCCAAGGTCTTAACTCATTCAAGCGTAAATTCAAAATCTCATCAAAGACTCCAGGCAAACTCCATCCAGCTATAAGCCCTTGTGAAGAAAAAAAAAAAGATACATACTTCCAAGTACAATGGCAGGACAGGGACAGAATAAACAGCTTATCTCCAAAAGGGATAAAAAGGCAAATAGAAAGGAGTAACCCACCCAAAGCAAGCTTGAAACCCAGCAGGGGAGACATTAAAGCCTAAAGTTCCAAGGCCAGCAATCTTGTGCACACTACAGTGAGGGGTGGGCCCCCAAGACCTCTGGCAGCCCCACCCCTATGACTATGCTGGTTGTAGGCTACTGGCTGTGTGCCACAACTGCAGTTTTCCCTAGTGGGCACTGCATGTTGCTGGTAGCTCTACCTAGTCAGTCAGCACAATTCCTAGGGCTCTAGGCATTGCCCCAGCAGGGGTTCTTTACAGGGGCTGTGACTGTGGCAGACTTCTCTCTGGTCTTCCAGGCTTTCCTCTGAAATTTTGGCAAAAGTTGCCATGATCCAATAACTCTTGTATATGGTATACCTGCAAACTCAGCACAACATAGACATCAAGGTCTGGTTCATGAGCTGTGGACTGCCTGAACCACGGATGCAGCCACAGGGTGCTTCGTTGGCTGAAGGCAGGGAAATAAATCCCAAGGGAGCCCTGGGCAGCAAGCACACCAGGGCTCTTTTCTGAAACATCTGTCCTGGAATCCCCTGAGAACTTTTTCCAATGTTCCTGATGCAAATCAATTGTCTTCCTTTTATTCCTTAGCAAGTGGCTTCATAGCCACACCCTTACATGCTTTTTCCCTGCTCCTTCCTTGGCCAAGATGCAAAATTTCAAATCTTTCTTCTCTGCTTCCTCTTGCTCCCAAGTCTCAGTGTAAATCTAAAAATGGCTAATACCAATGCTTGAATACTTCACTATTCAGAGTTTCTGCCAAATGTCCTATATTATCCCCTTGAAAATTCCTCTTAAATAGAGTTCTAGTTAAGTTCTTTGCCATGGCAAAACAAGGCCTATCAAATCCCACCCCCCCTCCTCCCCGGCCCCAATCCTCATTTCAGGGGAGGCACATGTCTGTAAACTCAGCTGCTTTGGGAGGCTGAAGGAGGATTGCCAATGGCAGCTTAGTAAGAACTTGTCTCAAAATCAAATAAATAAATAAGAGCTGGGGGTGGAGCTCACTGGTAGAGTACCTGCCTAGCAATCCTCAGTATTGGACCTCTCCAAAATTCCTCATTTCCACCTGAGATTAGTTCCCTGGTTTCGTCTGAAACTTCTTCGGAATTGCCTATAATTCTTCATTTATGGCATTCTAGGAATTTTCTAGCCTATTCCTCAAAATGAACCTCTGCCTATTACCAAATTCAAAAGCCACTTCCACATATTCAGGTATTGATCATTAGGCAGTATCTCTACTCCTAACTGATTTTCTGTTCTAGTCCATTTTGTAATGTTTACTGTAACATTACTGTAACATTACTGTTTACTGTAACATTACTGTAACAAACTACCCAAAGCAGGCTAACCTTATAAAAAACAACATGTGTGTTTAGCTGACTTGGCTCTGGTGAGGACCTCATGGCAGATGCTGTCACAATGGCAGGAGTACATGTGAAAGGAAGAGATCAAATCTCAAAACAAGAAGCCAGACAGCTGTGTGGGGCCAGGTATACTCTTTTTATAACCCTCTCTGGAGGACTCAAGGACACCATGTGAAAAACCACAATCCGGGGCCGGGGATTTAGCTCAGTGGTTTCGCCACCTGCTGCACAAGTGCAAAGACCTGAGTTCGATCCCCGGTACCAAAAAAAAGAAAAACCACAATTCCTTATAAGGGCGTGCCCTCCGTAACTGACTTACAGACTTCCTACCAAGCCCCACCTCTTAAAGGTCCTATTACCTCAAGGACACCATACCAAAGATCAACACATGCACCCTTGTGGAATAAACCACATCCAAACCATAGAAGTCCTTTGTGCATATCTGATTACCCTCATATATATTTTGTGCATATATTTTCATTATCCTCCAAAATAGGAAAATTAACCTATGCCCCCAAACTCAATACAATAGCATAAAATATGTATTCTTATTGAGTATGACCAAAGTACAGTGATTAATTCAATGGTTGTTCAATGTCTATTTATAGTTAGTTTTGTCATAGTGCTAGTTTTTAAAATGTGAATTTGTATCAATGAGAATGACATTGTCAGGGACCAATTTGGTTTTAATAAGAGAAATATCATTGAGGTGATAGAAATAAACCTTGAGTGGAAAAGCACAAGAAAGAATGGGAGGTGAGAAGTGAAAACAGTGGTTTAGACAAATTTCCAATGGTTTTTACTAAAAAGAGTAAAACTTGAGGAGGCAGTTACAAGGTGAAGCACAGAAAGACTGTGAGGAGCACAGTAGCTTAATCAGGGAGCTTAAACCAAAAAATATTTGTATACTGATGGCAATGGTGCAGTGAGCACATTGGGAGATGATGATACAGGAAAAAGATGGGATCATCAGAAGAGCAAAATCTTTGTGTAAAGAAGGAATGGAATCTTGTGAGTATGTGACAAAGTGGAAAAGTTGGTTTAGGTGGAAATAATAGATTTGGTGATGAGAAGATGTGGTATAGTAGTTCTTTGGTTGCTTCTATCTTTTCAGTAGAGTAAGGGATAAGGTAGTCAGTTAAGGGTTGGAAAGGGTTTGGGATGTTCTTAAGAGAGAATAGGTAGTAAGAGACAATCCTAAGAAGTAAACTAAACTGGGAAAATTTTAGAGTGGTTGTTGCAGAGTGCTGAGGGCCCCAAGTGCAATGCGGTAAGGTGGGCATGTGTATTTCTCTTGCCGCCTTCCAGTGCTCAGGTGCAGCTATGGCACTGGACATGATTTTAACTAGATGAGTATTGACAGGCCCCTGAGTTGGACCCCCCACACACAAGCAGACCCACTACCCACATCCACAGGAGCATAGAGATAACAGGGAGCCAGCAGCTGCCAGTTTATCAGCCACCCCCAGGCCCATCATCCATGGGACTCTAAAATTTTCCACCCTCTCGACCACTGCCCCCTCCCCTACCTAAACTCCCCCATATCAACCGCACACCCTCTTCTCAGTACCAATGGCCTTTTCACCTTTGGCCCACCTGCACTCAGATGGCAATA